TTACGTTGTGAATGTCACGTGACGAACATCACGACAAAGTCGCTAACTAACTTAAGAAACACAACAAAGGCTCTTATTTTAAGCCACACCATGATTTTTTTCTAAACATAACCAATTAGTTTTGTGGCCTGTGTCATGTGAACACAGACGTTTATTTTGAAAAGACTGCCTGTAATGAGCAGAAATTGGCACGCTGTCCCTTAGCTTTAAAAACAGATGCTAGAGGGGTACCCCGAGTGTCATAGGTTAAAGCACAGGGCCACTGACTAAGCTGCCATATTTAATGGGTGGGACAATTTGAGTCAAGATAAAGGCTGGAATTAGAAATAACATAGATGATTGAGTAGTCTACAGCTGTCATTTTATCTGTCTGTCTTTCATCTGTGCCAAATAAACATTAAGGTTTGGGTAAATGTAAGTATGAGTCTGGAGTCTGTGCCAGATACCCAATATTAAAGGACTCTGATCGGGGTCATGTTGGTTTCTTTTTATGTATTGACACCACTCTTAATTCTCTTATAATGATAATTCCGTTGTTTTGTGAGTAACTTATTTTTGACCAATGACAATTTTAGATAAGTTAATGTGTATCTTCTTATATATGTGAAACAACCAAAAGATAAATGTACAATGTATTGATGGACATTATTCTCTTTCTGTGTCAGACACAAGGAGAGTTGTCATTCTGGGGAAAACTGGAGCTGGGAAAAGCAGCCTGGCTAACACCATACTTGGAGAGAAACCATTCAAGGTTGATGATACTGCTAACTCTGGAACAACTGCATGTCAAGCAGAAACCAAATCTGTCAATGGAAGAAACATCACTTTGATCGACACTCCTGGTTTTTTTGACACAGAGAAATCTGAGGAGGAGCTGAAGCGTGAGATGTGCTTTTCTCATTGTACTTAAAGTGGAGAAATTCACAAAGCAGGAGCAGGCTGTCATCAACAAAATACACCAATACTTCTCTGAAGAAGTCTTCAAATATGCAACAGTTGTCTTCACTTATGGTGACCAGCTCAAGGGACAGACAATTGAGGAATTTGTCCATCAGAATAAGTCATTGAGTGATCTAGTGAATAAGTGAGGAGGCCGCTGCCATGTCATTGACAATGAATACTGGAAAGACAACCCAAAGGATGAATACAGGAGCAACAAGTACCAGGTGGAGAAACTACTTAACACAATAGTTGAGATAACAAAAGCAAACAATGGAGGCTGCTACACCAATGAGATTCTCCAAGTAGTACAGGAAATAACTGAAGAAAAGAAAAAGCACATTAGAAAGTCATCAGGAAACATGTCAGAGGAAGAAAACACACGGCAGGCTAAAGACAGGGCATTTAAGGAGATCTGGATCAGACTGGCAGGTGTTGGAACAGGTGCAGTGTTAGGAGCTATATTTGGTGTAGTAGTGATGGGTGAAGTAGTTGACTTAGCTTTAAAAAAAATATTGCCTGTGGCCAAAACTTTACAAGCAGCAAAAGAAGCAGCAGCAGCTGCTGGTGCAGGAGAAACAGCAGCAGGACCAGTAGCAGCAGCAACAAGAGCAGCAGTAGAAGGGGGACGAAGAGCAACTAGAAAAACATTGATCTCAATTGCAGGGCTATTTGCTGCACTGGGAGCAGTAGTGGGAGGTTATACGGGATATCATGCAGCTGAGGGAGCAGACACGCCATGGGAAGCAGCACAGATGACAACAGCTGCTGTCAAGAGGGGAGCCTGGTCTATTGTATCGACCATAGATGGAGTGGTAGCTTATTTTAATGTTTTCAGCAAACCACCAGATTCAAAGTAAAAAGGGAGTTAAAACCTATAATGAGCTGTGACTCCTGAAGACAGGGAGGAGAATTTATCAATAAAGTCGTGCCTGTGGATATTCTCATTTATCCAGGTCATAGTTTTCTCAAGGCAATTGAATCGAACGCAACTGGACTTAGTTTTGTCTTAGAAGTCGTTTCACCTCTTATCCAGGAGGCTTCATCAGTTCATGCTGATATCAGTAAAGTCTGGTCTCCCGGTTGATCACGTGAAAATCTTGTTTTAACCCATCGTTAACCTTTGAGCTGAAGTATGTTTACTTATGTCACAGGTTTTATCTTGTCTGAGCTTCAAGCACCTTTTCCTGTTTCACAATCTATCTTTGTGCCTCCACACCAGTGATAGGCCAGAGGCATTATGATTTCAGGTTGTCTGTCCTTCCATCCATCCATCTGTTTGTCCCTCCCATTCTTGCTAATGTAGTATCTCAAAAGAATGCCAAATTTGGCACCAATGTCCACTTGGACACAACCATGACCTGATTAAATGTTTGTGGTCACTGGTCAAAGGCCAAAGTCAATGTAACCTTGCATCAGCCTCAATCTCATGAGCACGACTCCTCTCGAACGCCTGGATGAAATTTTTTTGAATTTGGCAAAAATATCCACTTAGACTGAGGAATTAGGTGGTCGAAGGTCAAAGGTCAAAGTCAGTTAACTGCCAGAGTGCAAAAAAGCATCAAAATAGAGCTTGTTTTCTAAGGTCAGGGCTACATCCCAAATGTCCTCAAGTCCTAAAAAACACCCCCGCGTACAGTAAACGTCAGGGGGTTGAAAACAGGCAACTCATTTATTTTATTTATTGATGAATATTTTAATGTTTCTTTATTAACTGGTTGTCATTTTGCAAAAGTTGCCCCTGAGCACGGCAAGTTGAGTATCCCTGCTGTAAACTGAAGCTACAAACCACAAATATAAAATTGTTTTAATATATTTTATGTCTGAGATCTTTTAAAAATGTTGTAATCAAATCAGTGTACTCATTGTTCACTGTTCTCTGTTGCAAAAGCTAATCAGCAAATATCATTTAATCTATGTACAACATCACTTTGTTCAAATAGCTGTGATTGTTAGTGGATTAAAATGTATGACCAAGATAAATATGAACAATCAATAAACTCAAACTTGTGAAAAAATTTGATTTGATTTACTTGGTAAAGTAACCCACACACTCTCACACAGCTCACTAGATGTCCCTCGATCACAAAATATCTCCTTCTGGTGTCCAAGAGCCAAAGACTTCTGTTTAATCTTAATCAGTGCAAATCATCTGTTAATCTGTACACTCATATTCTGTATTAATTATTAACTTTACTTCATCCTTCAGTCTCTCCTGATTGAAATACAACTGTGAAAGGAGGCTTTTGGCATCAGCGTTTGACAAATCCCTGACTGAATACTTGACAAAGCAGCAGTATTTGACGATTTAGGAATGGGAACATTTTGACGAGTCACATGTTTGGTTGTTGTTACACACAGACAATTGTGTTAATCATCTAGCCAATAAAATCTGAGCAGAGTATACCATGTCATCTATATCTGAGGAAGATTTGCTGGGAGTTTTGTCACGTGCTATAAAGTATTTATGAAGAGAAACCGCCAGAAAACACCAAGCTGTGTCACACTGCAGTGTAGTCCAGTAACCTCTAGATGGCAGCACAGAACAGTATTAGTTGAAGAAGAGATTTTGGCCACTGACAAGTTTAAGTTCAATGTTCTGTCTCCTTCACCAACTGATGAGAGCAGTGGTGGAAGATAAATACATTAACTCAAGTACTGTACTTAAATACAATTCTGACATACTTGTACTGGACTTTTGTACAATTTTGATTTTGTCTTTCTTTATACTTACTTACTAATCTACCCAGTAGCATAAATAAGTATCACGATCAATCACCCTCAACTCTGAAATAAAAATAATATCAAGCAGAAACCAAATTTGTTAATGGAAAAAGCATTAATTTGATCAACACTCCCGCTTTCTTCAATGCAGATAGATCTAAGGAGGAGCTGCAGCAGAGTAGTTTGCTTGCTTTACAGCTTGTTATATCAGTATCAGAGTGCGCTCCTGGGCCTCATGTTTTTCTTGCCAACAGTTGCAACATGCCTTTGCTGTTCCCTCTTTCACTTTAAATACAATTAGAATGAAATGGGTGGCAAAAATTAAAAGGTGTGTCGCAGAAAACAGGAAACATACAGAGAAGAGGAATGTGGTAGCGCTACTGCCAAAACTGTCAAGGTGTGTAGCAGGGTTGTCAAGGTATAAGAAACCAAACTGGTAGATTCGGCAAACACTTTCACACACATTCTAACCGTCTCAACTCTGTGATATATCGTCGTGAGTTACTTCACTTGTGACAACATGGACGGTAAGTTACTGTCTTTCAGTTTTTTTCTGTCAGGACTGAACACTGCACACTGAAATTTAGATAAAAGATATTATGTATGAAATCATTTTTACAGTGCACAAGTGCTACACGTAGATGACTAGAGATAAAGAGATAAACTAGGTATGATGTTGTTGCTTATTAATCTGCTCGTGGGCCTCTTTTTATGTACTGATACCATTCTTCATTTCCTTATTATGCTAATGAAGCTTTCCTTTGTTAAATGTTGCTGTTGTCCCTGACCTCATATGAATAGAGGAAAAGTCCACTAGCTGCTAGGCTAATACAATGTAAAATGCCACATGCTTATGCTAAAAACATTAGCATGTTGTATTTGTGGGGAAAATGTGTCCAGCAAAAGACAAGTGCTTTGTCTGTGAATGCTGCGAGTTATAGTGAAGCTGATTTGTGTACTTGTGTTTGAAATTGTCTCTATTAAGCCATGTTTAATGTGTGTTTTGGGTGTTTTGAATCAAATTAACAAGTAAAAATCCCCCTTAAAACCATCACAGTATAAACCAAAAATGTGGTACTGTTCTTAGTCTGTCAAGCGGCACTTTTGAAAAGTGTTTCGCCCAAGCATAACTCAGGCTCTAGAACAGATTAGAATTGTTTGTGGTTATGAATCTGCTTGTTGGCCTCTTTTCATGTATTGACACCATTCTTCACTTCCTTATTATGCTAATGAAGCTACCAGTGCTAACTGCTTTCTGACCAGTGTGGATTTTAATTGTAATTGAGTTCATGTGTATCTTCTTAAACATGAAAACAATCAAAAGTAGAATGTACATTATGATTGATGGACATTGTTCTCTTTCAGTGTCAGACTGGAGACTTGTCATTTTGGGAAAAACTGGAGTTGGGAAAAGCAGCCTGGCAAACACCATATTTGGAGAGAAACTGTTTACAGTCAACAACACTGCTAACTCTGGAACAAGAGAATGTCGAGCAGAAACCAGATCTGTCAATGGTAGAAGCATCACTTTGGTCGACACTCCTGGTTTCTTCGACACAGATAAATCTGAGGAGGAGCTGAAGCGTGAGATACTGAGGTGCATCATAGAGTGTGCTCCTGGGCCTCATGCTTTTCTCATTGTGCTTGAAGTAAAGAAATTCACAGAGCATGAGAAGGCTGTAATCAACAAAATACACCAATACTTTTCTGAAGAAGTCTTCAAATATGCAACAATCGTCTTCACTCATGGTGAGCAGCTCCCTGAAGGAGAGAAAATTGAGGATTTTGTCTGCCAAAATAAGTCTATGACCGATCTGGTGAAGAAGTGCGGAGGCCGCTGCCATGTCATTGATAATAAATACTGGAACAACCAACAGAATGAATACAGGAACAACCAGTTCCAGGTGAAAGAGCTACTCAAGACAGTAGAAAAGACATTGCTGGCAAACGAAGGAGGCTGCTACACCAATGAGATGCTACAAGCAGTGGAGGAAAAAATACAACAAGAGGAGAAGCGCATCAGAAAGTCATCAGGAAACATGTCAGAGAGAGAGATCAGAAAGCAGGCTAAGAGCAGAGCATTTGAGGGGCTTTGGATCAAACTAGCAGGTTTTGTAACAGGTGCATTATTAGGAGCTTTTTTGGGTTTAAACAAAGGGCAAAAGATAGCCAAAATGGCAGCAGCTTTAGGGTCAGCAGCAGGAGGAAAAGCAGAGACGGTATTAACCACACTTGCAGTGGCATCTGCTGCTGTAGTGGAAGCAGTGAAAGGAGGTTTACAAGGATATGAGGCAGCTGAGGGAGCAGACACACCCTGGGAAGCAGCTAAAAGGGCAGCAGAGGCTGTCATGAAGGATGAAGGTTTGGGGGAAAGCCAATCACAGCCAGCGTTGAAACAGAGTCAGAATCTGAAGTGAATGAAAATGAGCTGTGACTCTACAAGACAAGGGACATAATGTATCTTTAAAAAGTCAACTATTGAGTTGATTATGTTTATTCATATGTAATAAGTAAGAGGTTGTTCTTAGCTGACCTTAACCACTGAGTGTCTGTTTGATGTGTAGTTAAGTGCTTTAATTGTAAACTGTAGCCACAAACCACAAATATAAATTGTTTTAACATCTTTTACACATTAGTCCTTTCAAAATGTCAAACCAGTGTACACTGTTGGCTGCATTTCTGTCTTTAGTTGATATATCGACGATTGTTCCCAGTCGAGAAAGCTAACCAGAAAATATCACTTAATTCAAGTATGTACGATATCATTTTGTCAGACAGGTCTTCTGATGCTTCTGCAAAAATAGCTGTGTTTCTTTGTGGGTTGCACTGTATCACCAAGGCAAATATGAACAAGCAATAAAGTGAAATTTATGGAAAAATGTGATTTGAGTGATTAAAGTTTTTACTTGGTAAGGTAAAGCTGCCTCATCTCCACCATACATACACACACACACTTGGTAAACTAGAATAAACGCAGAATGAGAGCACAGGAGAGAAGACACACCCTTCACTTATTCCTCTTTTGACAACACGGACGGTGAGCTAAAGTTACGTCTTTCAGTTATTTATTTGTTAATACTTGTCACTACACTGCTGTACACTACTCTTTTACAAATGACATTCTGGAAAGTCATATTTTGGCTAAATTATCCTTCAAATGATTAACTGTTGTTATCGCATGTCATCGATGTCTGAGGACGCTCCACAATAGCAGTGGGCCCCCCGGCAGGACAATGCACCATGCCACACCACAGAACTGTTTAGGAAAGTCCGGGGAATGTGGCATCAGTTTTAGCCGAGCCAGTGGCTTTAATATTTTGACTGATCGGTGTAAATTGGTGTATGTGCTCTTGTTATGTCTGGTATGTCACATGTTTGGTGTACGTATATGTGTCCTTTTCTAGTTGGCCATGATTGGTTGTTGTTGCATTTATCTGCTGTTCACTTTTGCAAAAGACATCTTGATCTAAATGATTTGATTAAATTAAAGTTTATATATACACTGATCAGTCAAAAGATTAAAACCACTGGCAGGTGAAGTGAATAACATTGATCATCTTGTTACAATGCAGTGTTCTGCTGGGAAACTTTTGGCTCCTGACATTCATGTTGATACCACTTGACACGCAGCACCCACCCAAACACCACTGTGGACCTAGTACACCCCCCCAGTGGCAACATTGCCTCACTGCAAAAACTGATCAGGAGTGGCCCGAAGAACGTGACAGAGAGCTCAACACATCGACCTGGCCTCCAAATTCCCCAGATCCCAATCTGGTTGAGTATTCGTGGGGCGTGCCAGTAACCCAGACGTACCCCAATCTACAGTGGGGACTTCTTGGATTGGACTTGGCTCTGACATGTCAAGGCATGGACACGGGACCTCAAGGGGGGGCTTTGGAGTCTGGAACTGGGGCGTTGGCGGTGGATACTTTGAGATCTGTCGGTTGTGAGGTGGGGTACTGGCACGTCCTACAGATGCTTGATCAGATCGAGATCTGGGGAATTGGAGGCCCGGTTGATGCCTTGCACTCTTTGTCATGTTCCTTGGGCAATTTCTGAGGGAGTTGGTCTGCAGCAGTCAAGTGGCATCCACATGAATGCCAGGACCAAAGGTTTCCCAGTAGAGCATGGCATTGTGACGAGATGGTCAGTATTGTTCATGTCATCTGTCGGTGGTTTTAATGTTTTGGCAGCACAAGAACAAGCACTTAGTACAAGATCAATAGAAGCAGGGGTCTACCACTCCAGACAGGACCACAGGTGCAGGCTGTGCAAAGATGCTCCTGAGACAGTTCAGCACATAACAGCAGGCAGGGAGAGCGTACATAGAACGCCATAACCAAGTGGCTGGCATAGTGTACAGGAACATCTGCACTGAGTATGGGCTGAAAGTCCCAAGGTCAGAATGACAGACATCTCCTAAGGTGGTTGAGAATGACCGAGCCGAGATCCTGTGGGACTTCCAGATCTAGACTGACAAACTGGTGAAACCAACTGGACATTGTGATGATCGACAAACAACAGAGGAAGGCATTAGTGATAGATGTAGCAATCCCGAGCGACAGCAACATCAGAAAGAAGGAACACAAGAAGCTTGAAAAATATATGTACAGCTGTTTGAGGGAAAAACACCAAACACTAAAACTACCCACTAAAACTGTCTACAGTTTGAACACTAGGGGGCACCAGCATCAAACTGTTTAGTACATCCTTGAGTTAGACATGCACAACTCATACTTCACTTCTAGACTGAGGGACTCTTCAACTCCTTCAAGTTGAACAGACAAACTTCTACTTCCTGTATACATACCCTGCACAGGCGCCGGCGCCAGCTCAAACAGGTTCCTCACACATTCCTCAGTCTTTACATAACTTCAGTGTGAGATAGAGCTGGGACAATATCAGAGGCCTACACGGTTGATCCCTTCACAGTTATCATGGCCCAAAGAATTCATGATAGCAATATTATCGCGATTAACGATAGAACATATTTTGTAAATGAAATACACTAAAAATATGAGTGCAGGGAGGTGGAGAGGGAGACAAAGCTGGGACGAAAAGAAACTGGATTATTTACAGGACACTATCATATGTGTACTATTAACACAAAATCAATATTTCATTTTTAAATATCACAGTTATCATCAGTAGTTATCTATAACAACACCCCTAGTTTGTGGTAAATATGTCGTTCAGGGATAAACAAGTTAGCGCGAATGAAATGAGCAGCTCTGATGTTGCAGTTCTTACCATTTCATATTAGTTTTGTTTGTCCTGCAGAAAATTATTCATGATTCAGAGGACCATTTCCTCTTATATCCCATCGTTTCCCACCTTTCAGCTTCTATGCGTGCTGTGCTGTTTACCTTCATGGCGTTCAGTGCTGCAGTACACGGGGCCTCGCTGCGCTACGGAGGCATGGCTGGCCGGTGCGTCTTCTGCTGGCCATTTAGCTTCATCAACTGCCAGACTGGTGTTTGTCAGTGCCTGAGAGGACAAGAGATGAAGGAAGGAGACACACTGAGTGACAGAGAACAGAAATATAGATGCTAAGAGCTTGAGTGGCTTAGCAGAAAAATGTAGCTGAACTTCTGACAAAAAAAATGAATGACTCTTCCCTATTGGTGTTTCATTGTAAAATACTGACATAACAAAAACCATAAAATCCAAACAAGTCAACACACTGGAACAACAGCCGCATGGATGGATTACTGAATGAGTCTACCAGGCACAGGTCCGGGTGGCCCTGCAAAATGTTACTCAAATTAACACGTACTGATGATGAAGGGACACAAAATGGTCTCAAAATGACACAAGACAACCAGAAAAAAACGACACAAAATAAACTCAAAGTTACACAGAATGACTACAAAGAGACGCAAAGCTAGAACAAGGAGACAAAACCACCACAAAGTGTCCAGGGGCCTTTTGTCTCATAATACACCCATGAGCACAAGAGATTTATTCATTTAAGAGAGAAGAAATGTATTACTACATCTGAGACACACCAGCTCTCTCGCTGCTGATGGAAAAGCCTCTTATGCAATCAAAGGGCACTCTCATCACAACCTAACAAGGTGTTAAGTAGCCTGTGGGTCTTATTTTATTTATTTATTCATTTTTGCCACTAAGGCTTTGAAAAAAAATACTTAAGCTGTCATTTTGTCCTTATAACAAAGTTTAGTATCAAAATGTGTGAGAGCAAATAAATGTTTTTGTAAAACTGATTAACATTGAATTTTAAAGCATGTGTTGGGGAGTAGTGTGTGCTGTGATTGTGATTGAATATGTTGTGGCTTTCATAATGTAGTAAACAGCTGCAACATGCCTTTGTTGTTCCTGTTGTCACTTTGTATTCAGCAAAGAAATCAAACAAGCAATAAATGAGTAGTTATATTTTTTAACACAGAACTGATATCTAAATTATCAAATGATATGTTCATTTCAAGTACAGGTAAAAAAACCTGTTGTTGTTAATGTGAATGTTATCAGGAAAATGTTATTAAGTGGGAGCTTTGCTTGGTTTGGGAAAGAGAGGTGGATTTATTTGACTTTTACTTAAATGAAAAGAATAGCAGCAGCAGCAGCTGGTTTGTTATTAGGAACAGTCAGGTATGTCTGCTGCAGCCCCTGAGTGAGCTGAGCGCAAAGGCACATGACATCACATTTGTCCATTGAAGCCCTGCCCACAGTTTTATACACAGGAACCCGTCAATCATAGCAACAAGCTGCTGGAGAGAATATGTTTAAAGTACTCTTTCTTTGTAGTCAACATGTACGTATTTCACCAGGGTAAACCTGAAGTCACTCCACATGTGCTCCTAAAGTTCCCTTCTCATCAGCTCGACTGCCCCTCAGGTCTGAGCAGGTGGGCTACTTTTAATAAGTTCCTCTTGACTTACAGCTGAACTGCTTATTGTTTGACAGAGTGAAATACTTGTTTATATTCATTGTTTGAATTTACAGTTTCTGTTGTAAAGTTAACAAGACCAAGAAAACTGGAAGTCAGGATTTGAAGAGAGAGAACCACATCATGGTCTGGGAGGACGACAGAATTGTTTGTGACGTCTCTGAGGAATGTGGTAGAGCTACTGCCGAAAGCGTCAAGGTGTGACAGGGTTGTCAAGGTACAAAAAAAACCCAACACACACTCTTGCAGCATTCACACTGACTAACTGTCGCTCCAGAGTTACTTTGCTATTGACAACATGGCCGGTAAGTTATTTTCTTTCAGTTTTTTCCTGTCAGAACTGAACACTGCACACTGAAATTTAAATATTAGCTATTTTGTTTTTACTTCTTTTTACAGTGCACAGGTGCTTCACTTAGATGGCTGTCTACTTCCTTGTCTTTTTCATATTGTCGAACAGTCACTGGTACTGTTAAAAATGATTTATGCTTGGGCACGCAACACTTTTGATGAGTGTTGCTCGACAGAAATGAGAGAATTTCAACAGAAAAAAGAGTTGTGTGAAACTCTCCTTTCATGTCATGCACCTGGAGAATTTTAAGTCACGAATTATGTCATATTTTGTCATGCAATATGATTGGTAGGGTTTCTGTTGTCTTCATGGAGATAGTAATTTTTAATCCACACCGACTCTGACCTGCATTCAGCGTCTCAGTCCATAGAGTCAGGTTTCTGTCAGAAGGAGCTCCTTTACAGCTGAGAGGACAGAGGCTGGCCAAACTGCCCTCACCAGGCTGACTGACAGCAGACATTCACTGAATCAGAATATTTTTCATGTCAGCGCCATAAGAAGAAATTGAGTGTTTATATTTATTGATTCAACGATTTTATTTCCCTGCCCACTGCAGTGAGGGGGATCTGCTGCTCACACAAACATTGAGGGCTGATCAATGTAGATACAGTTAATAAGTTAAAAACACATATTTGTGGGATTGTAAAAAGCTGTTTTAGGCTTTATTAATAAACATGACAGAAATAGGGTTGTAGCATAAAAAAACTCAGGGTGTCTGTGGTTACTCTGGAGAATACTAATGCAGGATTTATACCTCTGCATCGGATCAACAACGTACCTATGACATAGGCTCTGCCACATGGAGCGTACGCTGTACCATACGCTGTAGTCTGACATCCACGTCCCCAGAAATTTAACTACACATTGCGGCGACGCAGACCTGTCTATTTTTGTAAGCTGAAACCATTTCCCTCAGTGGAAAAGAAGCTTTTATTTGTTTTAATTTCACAGATAAGAAACAATAAATAGTGAAGACAATAAAGCCTCCACAAGCATTTTAAGTCTTGTGTGTGATTTATCCTGACTTCATATGAGCAGAGGAAATCTCCGCTTAGCGCTTGGCTAATTTATACAATGTAAAATGCCATAGGCTTGTGCTAATAACGTTAGCGTGTTATATTTGTTTGGAAAACGTGTTTAGTATAAGACAGTTGTTTTGTCGGTGAACCCTGTGAGCTGTAATGGAGCTGAATTTTGTAACGTTTCTTTTGTTAAATGTTGCTGTTGTCCCTGGCTTCATATGAGTAGAGAAAAAGTCTGCTAGCTGCTAGGCTAATTTATACAATGTAAAATGCCGTAGGCTTGTGCTAAAACATTAGCATGTTGTATTTGTGGGGAAAATGTGTCCAGATAAAGACAAGCGCTGTCTGCGAATGCTGCGAGTTATAGTGAAGCTGATTTGTGTACTTGTGTTTGAATTTGTCTCTATTAAGCCATGTTTAATGTGTGTTTAATGTGTGTTTAATGTGTGTTTTGAGTCAACTAAACTTGACAGCACTTTACAGAAACCCCAATGCCCACTAGTGTTTTGGAGGTGTAACTGCAGAGTGACACAGACACACCACCACACAAATATAAATGCTCACAACGGCGTAGGCTACAGCGTAGGGTCTGCCACACAAGTATAAATCACCCTTAAAACAGTCAAAGCATAAACTAAAAATGTGGCACTGTTCTTAATATAGGTGTATCTGTCAAGTGGCCCTTTTGAAAAGTGTTTCGCCCAAGCATAACTCAGGCTCTAGAAGAGATCAGAATTGTTTGTGGTTAATCTGCTTGTTGGCCTCTTTTTATGTATTGACACCATTCTTCACTTTCCTTCTTATGCTAATGAAGCTATAAATGCTAACTGCTTTCTCACCAGTGATGACTTTATTACAATTTAGTTCATGTCTATTCTCTTATACATGAAAACAACCCAAAGACAATAGTTCAGTATTACTGATGGACATTATTCTCTTTCAGTGTCAGACAGGAGAATAGTCATTTTGGGAAAAACAGGAGTTGGGAAAAGCAGCCTGGCTAACACCATATTTGGAGAGGAACTATTCAATGTTGACCACAGTCTCAACTCCGGAACAAGAAAATGTCAAGCAGAAACCAGATCGGTCAATGGAAGACGCATCACTGTGATCGACACTCCTGGTTTCTTCGACACAAATAGACCCGAGGAGGAGCTGAAGCGTGAGATAGTGAGGTGTATCACAGAGTGTGCTCCTGGGCCTCATGCTTTTCTCATTGTGCTTGGAGTAGAGAGATTCACAGAGCACGAGCAGGATGTCATCAACAAAATACACCAATACTTCTCTGAGGAAGCTTTGAAATATGCAACAATCGTCTTCACTCATGGTGACCAGCTCGATGAAGAACAGACAATTGAAGATTTTGTCTGCAAGAATCAGTTTGTGACCGATCTGGCGAAGAAGTGTGGAGGTCGCTGTCACGTCATTGATAATAAATACTGGCAGAACAGCCAACAGGATGAATACAGGAACAACCACTTCCAGGTGAAGGAGCTACTGAAGACAATAGACAATGTAACTGGGGAAAACAAAGGAGGCTACTACACCAATGAGATGCTACAAGCAGTGGAGGAACTAATACAACAAAAGAAGGAGCACATTAGAAAGTCACCACAAAAACTCTCAGAGGAAGAGATCAGAGAGCAGGCTAAGGGTAGAGTGTCAGAGAAGATTTCAATCAAACTGGCAGGTGCTGCAACAGGAGCACTGTTAGGTGCTTTATTTGGTTTTAATATCACAGCAGCTGTAGGAGCAGCAGTAACTGAAGCTGCAGTGGTAAAGGCTGCCAGGACAGGAGGTTTTGCAGGATATCACGCAGCTGAGGCAGCAGACACAGCAATGAAAGCAGCCAAGATGGCAGCAGTGTCTGTCTTAAAGAGAGCACATGATGTTTTGGACGAACTATCACAGCCAAAGTTAAAGCAGAGCAAATAACCCCCAAAATGAGCCGTGGCTCTAAAGTGGTGACGAAACAGTACAGAGTAGAACGGTTCTATTACCATCATCCACCACTTTTGACAGCAGAGACATAAAATAGATAATGTGATGTGTATGAAACTGAACTGAAGTGAACTGGACTGCTGGGTGGAAAAGAGGCATTACAGAAAGGGGAGATAATGTTTTGATTTATCGCAAAAGAGTCATGCCTCCCTGTAGATTGCATGAAAATCTTTATAAACTATCGTCAACCATTGAGTTGGTTATGTTGATATGTTCATATGTAATAATTAATAGGTTGTACTTTTTGTCTGAGCTTCAAACTTATTCCTGTCTTACGGGTTTACAACGAAATAGTGGTTTGATGTGTTGTCCAGTGCATGTAGCCTGCAAAAAAATACATATATATATATCATTTGTATCCTTTAATAGATAAGATTTTATTACTATTATCATCATTTTATCAATCCAGTGTACCCTGTAAGCTGTATTTCTGACTTCCCTTGAAACATTGCACACTGTTTGTTGTTGCAAAAGCTAAATAGAAAATATCATTTACTGTGTGTACAGCATCATTTTTGGGGAGATTTTAATATATAACCAAGGTAAATGTGAAGAATTAATTAACTGAAACATGTGAATTTCTTGTACTTGAGTAAATAAAGTTTAATTTGATCAAGTAATCAGTTTCTGAATGGTGCATGGTGATAGCAGAAGAATCCAAAAATGTTTATCATGGATGGATGGATGGATGGATGGATAGATAGATAGATAGATAGATAGATAGATAGATAGATAGACAGACAGACAGACAGACAGATAGATAGATAGTCACTGAAACACGGCCAGACGACAACGTAAGCTATAAAGGTGAAAAGTGGAGGACTTCGACCCAGGAGGCTGGTGTTTGCTTCCTGTAGGAATGTAAAGTCAAACCATGATGTTTTTTTCTCAACCTAACCACGTATATGTGTTGGCTAAACGTTACCACATGCTTTTGTTGTCAAAGGAAGAAAACGTCAATCTTTGTGCCAACATACCTTAATAATTAAAAAGATTGTGCGCATCTGACACAATGCACGTAACCAGCTCAAGTTGGCACGGCATCCCAGAACCTCAACAACAGACGCACCCAGGCTACCTTGCACGTCATATGCAGGCGTTGAAAGTCCGCGACCAAGTGGCAAAATGTGACAAGGTCGGAATGAGAATGTGTTGTGCTTTATTGAACAGGGGGGAAAAAATCACCACTTTGATTGATCTGTTGTAATCTTAACAAATGAAAAAAATGCCATCAGTTAATGTTTAATCATAGATATTTCATCAACTATTTCAATGTGCGGACGACTGTAGTACTGTCCCTATGGGTCTTCGTCAAGAGTATTTCTACACTTAGTGTAGAAGGTGACATTTCCAACTAAAGGTGGGATGCCCATTTATTTGGTGAAACTTCTGAGATCGCCACAATTCAAGGAAATGCATTGAGGTCAAGGTAAAACTGACCAAGAAAAAATAAGCAATCGATTGAAATTTGCAAATGAACATCCAGTGGTGCCACTGTAGCAAATTCAGTAGCATAATTTTATTATATTTTGTTTACCAACTGTGATAATTATTTAATTGGTGCAATCCTGAATAAGTGCTATGTACATTTTTTTTAAAATATGTTTTTGTTATAAATGCTGCTGTAATGCAGGAAAGGAAACCTGTGTTTGTTTTTTAAAATAGTGAACACATATTAAAAAACACACAAGAACTCATAGAGGAAACGTGTAAAATGTCATACAATATAAATGTTATCAAAATAGATGAGGAAAAAGAAAACAAGATTAAATTAAATATGGTGATGTGAAGCCTCTCACTGCCTCAGCTGCCAAACAAAGATGAAAACAGGCATTGTAAAAGCCTGACATTATTCTCCCTTTGCAGTGTAAAAACTAAAATAATATTAGTAATAATTATAATAATAGTACAAACCCCTCATGATCACTGAAATATGACGGTAACACTACTGAATCTATATTAAATTGTGTTGTTTTCACACACATATGGTCAATTAATGTGCCTGTTCCTGGGTAGTTTGTTTGACAACTGCACATACCCTTTTTCTGCATATTGTTTCAAAAATGTCATCATTAGTGAATTCTCCCGTGACAGCAACTGCGTCACATATTGGATCTAGCCAATCAAATAACTTGCCGAAATGTTCTTCAAACAAAAACATGGCTCAGGATGATGGTCTGTAAATCACTGCTATTACTGTGTTTTAAGTCACGCACTCGCAGACTAAACTTCAATGACATCTGCTGTTGTAAGAATGCTGTATGTCAAGTCTCTGCACTATACATGCCAATGGGCTTGCAAAGCAACCAATGTAGTGTTGTTGCCGCTCTATGATGAACTTCGAGCAGAACTATCAAATGTATCGCTACTGATGTTTACAGGCCCAATGAGTGAGTAGCAGCCATTTTCTTTAACAGGAAAACAGTTAAGCTGCAAATGTTGTGTATATGGTCGAATCTGCAGCGTGTCATGTCATATTTTGCGTGCAATTCGTGTTCTGTCCTATTTTCACAGAAAAAACCTGGCATGCACTGAATTGCTTTTGAATGTCATGGGTGGCTTTGTCTTCAAAGTCTCAGTCATTCTGCTAAACTTGTTACACGGGTTCATGCCACACATGCCTGTCCTGCAGCAGGTAGTTTCCTATGTGACACCACAGTAATTCCTTGTACTTTATGTACTGTACGAACCCAAGCCAGTTTAAAGGAAAACTGCAAAACAATCCACGTTTACAAGTGATCCTATCCTCTTGTGTCTTCACCAGTTTCACGCCTCTTCAACAAATCTGCGTTACTTGCTTACAGTGGCATTCCTTTTAAATGTGTCCTCAATGTATTAAGAAACTCTGCAAAGACAGCATCTTTCTGTCTAACAATAGTCCTTAATTGGACAACTATAAATACGCTGTACCACAGGTTCACACCTACATTGTCAACATGCATATAAATTGGTTGAGAGAGTGAACTTTCAGCGAACTGAATAAAAAATCAAGTGAAGGCTCTCTGAGGCCACTCACACCCCCAACACACAATACATTCCTGTTTTCAAAGGAAATGTACAGTTTCTGCTCGTTACATGCAGACAGTCATTTTCAAGATAAACATAGGATTCCCTTAAGTTAGGCAACAAAAGTCCCTGGTTACGTAAGGCTAGGGTTAGGGTAAGGGTTAAAGGATAACTTCGGTATTTTTCAGCCTGGGCCCTATTTCCCCATGTGTATGTGTGCGTATGATTCATAGGTACAACTCACTCTAAAATTGCTTCAGTATTGAGGGAGCCGCATGCAGGGGGCAAATGCGTCCCATATAAATTTGCGCATTAAAAGTGCTTTTTTCGCCACTGACCAGTTCAGATCGCCAGTGTTATCTCTGTAAATAGCATACTAAGCGTTTCCCTTACCCTTCACCTCTTCCTGGCCGTGACGTCATCTCGCGAGAACTTTGCTTGTTGCCGGAAGAAAACAGAGGAGCCATGCTGAGCGCCGCTCCGAATGGCACTGGTTGTCCCGGAGTACAGCTGAGAGTTTTACTGCATAAATTGAAAACAAAGGTTAGTGTTTGTGATTATCCGAATTGCAAAAACAGGATGTAGCGCAACACCACGTACAGCTATCATAGGCTGCCTTTGTCGGACGGCGAGATGCTGTGGCTAGTTGTGCTACAAATGGATGCTAACACTCCTGTCCAGACACTGCGCCTTGCAGACCATCGGGTCTGCAGTGCTCACTTCTCCCAAGATGACTACTGCCAGCCGAAGAAGAGAAGACATCCAATCCCGAAACACCTCTTCCTCAAGAAAACAGCTGCCCCACGAGTAGAGAGAGCTACAGACACAGTGGAGCAAAGCTCTCGTGAGATGACGTCACACAGGAAGAGGTGAAGGGTAAGGGAAACGCTTAGTATGCTATTTACAGAGATAGCACTGGTGATCTGAACCGGTCAGTGGCGAAAAAAGCACTTTTAATGCGCAAACTTATACGGGACGCATTTGCCCCCTGCATCCGCCTCCCTCAATACTGAACCAATTTTAGAACGAGTTGTACCTATGAATCATACGCACACATACACATGGGGAAATAGAGCCCAGGTTGAAAAATACAGAAGTTGTCCTTTAATAAAAAAAAGTACGTGTTTAGGTTGAGAAAAAAACATGGTTCGGCTTAAAATAAGTATAAATGTCATGTCACGTGACACAGTCCACCTTTACTAGAGAGCCTTTCTGGAACAGTAGGTGTAGAGGTCACTAAATGGCCTGAGGCGTCCTCTGTATGGTCCTTTGGGTGCCAACTTGATGATCATCAAATTGAATGGACATTGTTTGAGGAAAAGTATCAGCAGCTCAGAGCACAGAGCTCATTAATAAGTCCATCAATCACATTCATATTTTTAGTCAACATGATAGGTGTATTTCCCCCCAGAACCAGCTTCTCAGCTAAACATGTATTATACACTTTAGTATGATGTGCATGCATTAACTCAAGTTTCCCTGTTTTCTTATTATATCCAAAATCCTGAGCATCTATTTCTACCTATTCTTGACATGTTTTCAATAAATGCCCAATTATTAATAACTTGAACATTTGCTGGGCAAATTATGCACAAAGACGAACTGTCTTCACCAGTTTCATGCTTCCTCAACAAATCAATGACACTCGCTTACAGTGGCGTTCCTTTTGAATGTGTCTACGTTGTAGTTAATAGCCTTGTAAACACAGCGTCTTTCTGCTTCACAAAAGTTTTTAATTGGACAACTTTAAATACACTCACAACGTCAACATTCGGTGGCTTCCCATTTACTGGAGGCAACTGGAAAAAAATCTCCAATAGCAACCACGCTTACATTACAACCCTGTCTCATTCTGAAGTCGTCCTGTATTGCCGCTTGGTCAGTGATTTCAGCATCAGACACAGACAAAGAAAGTTGTCCTTTCACGGTGGTGTGCTATGCGGCCAGGTGGCGTCAGTGTGAAATGGCGCCTGACGGTGTCAGTGTGAAACACGGCCGGACGACAACGTAAGCTAAAAAGGTGAAAAGTGGAGGACTTCGACCCAGGAGGCTGGTGTTTGCTTCCTGTAGGAATGTAAAGTCAAACCATGATGTTTTTTTCTCAACCTCAGCACGTATATGTGTTGGCTAAACGTTACCACATGCTTTTGTTGTCAAGAAGAAGAAGAAAGAAGAAAATGTCAATCTATAGTGCTGTGCCAACATACCTTAATTATTAAAAGGACTGTGTGCATCAGACACAATGCACGTAACCAGCTCAAGTTGGAACAGCATCCCAGAGCCTCAACAACAGACGCACCCAGGCTACCTTGCATGTCATATGCAGGTGTTGAAAGTCCGCAACCAAGTGGCAAAATGTGACAAGGTCGGAATGAGAATGTGTTGTGCTTTATTGAACAGGGGGGAAAAAATCACCACTTTGATTGATCTGTTGTAATCTTAACAAATGAAAAAAATGCCATCAGTTAATGTTTAATCATAGATATTTCATCAACTATTTCAATGTGCGGACGACTGTAGTACTGCAAACTATTTATCTGTTCCGCACCCAAGGGCGTGTAAGATCTATTCATATCTGCCAAATGCCAAATGTCTTGTGAATAGTTGAAGCATGTAAATTGTATGCAGCAATGCCGGTCAGAGCAGTTAACAAAAGACAAACAAGACAAACATCCTCAGGGTGACGACACACTGTCATTAGTAATCTTGATGCCTCAAACTGTAGCGCTCTAATGAAATGGCTCTTTCCTGTCCCTCTCTGTATACATATACTGTATATGTACATATATATATCTGCTGAGGTGTTCAGTGGTGTTTTTTCTAAAAATGTCTTCAACTGAAAAAGTTGCTAATGATAAGTGTACTATACACATACAATGTAATGTATACAACATAATGTGAACTTTTTGTTGCAATAAAAAAAAAAATCTATTACACTGTTGCTGCTTCTTACATTACAGTGGGTGCTCCCAAAATTTTGCTGGTGCTCCTAACTTCAAAAAGTTAGGAGCACCAGTGCTACCATGTAAAAAAGTTAATTTCAAGTCCTGAGTAAGGAAATGAAGCAGGCGATTAAAATAAGATGAGGTGTTGGAGACAACAGGAAACATACTCCCAGTCAGGTTTAGTAGCAGATTCAGGCAACTTTTCTCTTTGAAAGAAGTCACTGCAGCAGCTGTTGTTGTAAGCTACTGTCATTACCGTCTGTCCTGCATCTCTCTCTGTCTCTCTTTCTGTCTCACTGTGTCATGCGGATTACTGTTAATATATTATGTTGATCTGTTCTGTACGACATCTATTGCACATCTGTCCGTCCTGGAAGAGGGATCCCTCCTCAGTTGCTCTTCCTGAGGTTTATAACGTTTTTTACCCCGTTAAAGGGAATATTTAGGGGAGTTTTTCCTTATCAGCTGTGAGGGTCCAAAGGACAGAGGGATGTAGTATGCTGTAAAGCCCTGTGAGGCAAATTGTGATTTGTGATATTGGGCTTTATAAATAAAATTGATTGATGGATTGACTGCAGCAGTAGCAGCAGCTGGTTAGCATTAGACACAGTCAGGTGTGTCTGCTGCACCCACTGAATGGGTTTTATCAGATTTGATTTTCAGTGGCAACGTGAGCAAACAGTCCCATTGTCATCACCAGAATTGTTTGTGATGTTTGAGGAATGTGGTAGAGCTACTGCTGAAGCATCAAGGTTAGACAGGGTTGTCAAGGTATAGAAAGAAAAAAACAAAAGTGGCAGATACAGCAAACACATTCACACATGCTTTGGCAGTCGCGTCACTGTGAGTAATTGTCACTCCAAAGTAACTTCGCTTTCGACAACATGGACGGTAAGTTGTCTTTCGGTTATTTCTGTCCGGACTGGACATTGTGCATTTAGTTGCAAGACACAGAAATTTTGATAATAGCTGTTTTGTTTAAAATCATTTTTTACAGTGCACAGGTGCTACACGTAGATAGCTGTCTTTTTCCCTCTCTTTTTTAAGTGTTGAACTTTTTTGATTGGTACTGTTGGAAGATTATAAGATTACTGTTGGAAGAGATAATTTACGCAAGATGTTCTTGGTTATTAATCTGCTCGTTGGCTTCTTTGTTTGAATCAACACCACTCTTCATTCATTTCTTGCTAATGAAGCTATAAGCAGGGGTGTGGCAGAAAGAATTGTGACTGATTACCTTAGACCCAAAGGGGAGGGGGCTAAAAAACTTGGAATGAAAAGTTTAGTTTTGTTTGCAATTCTTTATTTCAAATCAGTTGAGAGAGTGAACACTGGAAAATGAGGAGTGGAGGGTCTCTGACCCCCAATTTCCACCAGATGCATGCTGGTTGCGTCTGCGGTCCGGCATGGCAGCGGAGCCGATTAGATTCAATTCTAGTCAATGTGTGTGTTTCCACCGGCTCCGGCTGTGCTACGTTCCGGCTCCGTCTCAGCTCCGGCACTCCAGAGCCCTCCGCAACAGATACACAGGACTTCTATTTTTGCTGGACGCCGGAGCACAACACAGCAATTCAGCACAGAGCAGATCGTGCGGGGCAGGAAGTCGTGCACAGAAACAAAATAAAACATTTGGTTAATTTTCAAAATAAAGTACATAGTGTTCACGGCGGATCATATTTCCCTGCACTACACCTTGAAAACTGCATAACGGGCAGAGGCAGGCCTGAAGTCAACAGGTCAGAGGTTTTCAGACGTCATTTAACCCTGTTGACACCATGGACGAGGAGATATTCATCATGGCAGAGCACCGAGATGTCTTCCGGCGGAGCTGCACCGCTCCGCACAGCAAACGCAGCTGGTGGGTATTGACGGATGGCGGAGCACGCAGCGGATATCCAGCACTGCCGTTCCGCAACGGACACGCATCCAGTGGAAATCCGGCATGAGGCTCCTCGCACCCCTGCAAAAAGTGCAAAATGGTTTACTCTCTAAAGCAGACCACCAGAAACGCTAAGCTTTGCAGCTAATTCTTCCCAGTGGCCACTCGCAGTATTGCAGCAAAAAATTCCCCATGGCCCAAAAAGCATTTTGTAAAACTAGTCACAGGACACCTTGAACTCGAGCACGCTAATACCAGCAGTTGCTTAGACTGAAGACATTCAGCTTGAAGCATATGTACATAAACATAAATTAATCCAACCACTTCTCATTCCAATTCGTCAAATACTGCCGCTTCGTCTGTGTCCTAAATGTCAAAATATGATATGAATATAGGTAGCCTCCTGCGGTGGTTTTCAGCGTTCACGGACGGTGTCTCAATTGATGCTTGTGACATGCATTGTGTCTTTTCAAAATACATTTCTGTTTTTACAATGCATTTGCAATTTCTGCCCATTACCTGCATACAGCCTTTTCAAAATAAACTTACTACATAGGTAATAAGCTTCGCTGTTATGTTTAGTTTTAAAAAAAATACATGGTTTGCATCAAAATGGGTACAGCAGGCTCCCAGGTTAAAGTTTGGTGTTTGTCGGACCCCTCTACCTTCCCTCCCACCCACCCTATACAGACTTTCTCGCTCTTTATACTACAGTAATGGTCAGTTCCGTCACAAATAGGCGTTGGCTGATGCTACAAAGAGTGTCTCTGTGCATTGGTATCTGGTGCCAACATCCAACAAAGTTCAGTTGGTGGTGGTGGCGTCAGAAATAGCCGCTGCCCGGTGTGTATCTTTCCACTGCAAAAGATACATTGGCATCTGACAACGTTATTGACAAAGTGGCGGTACTTGATGCATATGGAGTGAGAATGGGCCGATTAGAATCATAAATTGGCATCAATACTACAATGTTGTGTGGTATTTTATCTATCAACAGTCAACTAGCAAAGCTTAATCTTGACCATATGACCCTCTGTTTCAGAAACAGCCACAACGAGTGGAGGAACAACAGCAGGTCCCTCAAAATCCACTGTTACTAAGAAAAAGACACAAGGTGAGCTCATGAAAAAAAAAAATCTAAAAATCTAAAAAAAATCTAAATCTTTTTTTTTTTTTTTTTTGGCCAATTTGTGGTATATTTCTTATCAAGTTGCTCATTGCCTCCCCCCCGCCCAAAGCTTCACATCATGAACCATATATGAGCCTCTGTTTCAGGAACAACCACAAAGAAAGGAACAACAGCAGGTCCCTCATCATCCACTGTTACTGAGGACAAGGCACAAGGTGAGCTCATGAAGAAGCTACTACAAGTGAAGCAATCATGTGACATCGAGGTTTCACAGATCTTGCGCAAAAAACAGTTCAACTTTGAAGCAATATTTAGCCCCTTTCCCAGTAATCCAGCATGGCATGTTTGGTGTCACTGCATTCACTGCAATGTTAAGATTCATATGATACCACTGGCTTTGGGCTCAGCTTAAAAACCTCCATGCCTTTACAAATACAGAAATGTTAATGCTAGATGATCCGTAGGAAAAGAGTAACGCACACCGCAGATTGTCTTGTTGAGGTGCTGGCGATAGAGCAGAAAAATTGAAAAAAGAGGGAACGCTGCACACTCAGCTCCAAGTAAAAAGGGAATTTTATTTAGGACAACGTTTCAGCACAGGGCCTTTGTCAAGTCTTAACACGCTACCTTAAGACTTGACAAAGGCCCTGTGCTGAAACGTTGTCCTAAATAAAATTCCCTTTTTACTTGGAGCTGAGTTTGCAGCGTTCCCTCTTTTTTCAATGCTAGATGATCCACCATACTTTTCAGATAATTAAAAGTAAAACACTGTCATGTGACATTATCTAATAATATTACCCAGCAAAGCTTCACATCATGAACCATATATGAGCCTCTGTTTCAGAGCCAACCACAAAGAAAGGAACAACAGCAGGTCCCTCATCATCCACTGTTACTGAGGACAAGACACAAGGTGAGCTCATATTGTGAAATCTAAAAACTTTGAAACAGTCATTTGTAGCAGATTCAAGTGAAAGGAGATTAGTGAGACTATCATCAAGTAGCCTGTTTTACTGTATGTTAGAGACTACTTATGCATAGGGCCCAGAATTTAGTGCAACACCCCCACCCATAAGTAGTGATGGCCAAATGAAGCCTCATGAACCACTGTCTTTATTTTCTGAAGCCACCAGATGGCGCTGTCTGTCCAACAAAGGCTTGAAAGCACACTTCATTGCAAGTCCTTCAGCCTTTATATTTAAACCAAGAGCGCCATCTGGTGGGGTCAGAAAATAAAGACAGTGGTTCCTGAGGCCTCAATTGGCCATCACTACCTATAAGTAGTAACTAACTGCTTTCAGACCAATGAGAATATTGTAGTTTAGGTGATGTGTATCTTGAAAACAACCCAACGATAAATGTACAATGCTACTGATGACCATTATTCTGTTTCAGTCACAAACACGAAGAGAATAGTCATCTTGGGTAAAACAGGAGCTGGGAAAAGCAGCCTGGTTAACACCATATTTGGAAAGAAACTGGTCAAGATCGATCATACTTTCAGCGCAGGAACAAAAGAATGTCAAGCAGAAACCAGATCTGTCAATGGAAGAAACATCACTTTGATCGACACTCCTGGTTTCTTCGACACAAATAGACCCGAGGAGGAGTTGAAGCGTGCGATAGTGAGGAGTATCGTAGAGTGCGCTCCTGGGCCTCATGCTTTTCTCATTGTGCTTAAAGTGGAGAAATTCACAGAGCACGAGGAGTCTGTCATCAGCAAAATAAAAAACAGCTTTTCTGATGATGTCTTCAAATATGCAACAGTTGTATTCACTCATGGTGACCAGCTCAATGAAGAACAGAGAATTGAGGATTTGGTGTGCCAGAATCAGCTTGTGAGTGATCTGGTGGAGAAGTGTGGAGGTCGCTGTCACGTCATTGATAATAAATACTGGAATGGAAAGCCAGAGGATGAATACAGATGCAACCAGTTTCACGTGGAGGAGCTACTGAAGACAATAGACAACATAACTGAGGCACACCAAGGAGGCTGCTACACAAATAAGAATCTAAAAGCAGTGGAGAGGGAAAAACAACAAGAGGAGGAGCACATTCGACAGTCATCAGGAAACATTTCAGAGGGAGAGATCAGAGAGCAGGCTAAGGGCAGCGTGTTTAAAAAGCTTTTGAAAAAACTGGCACATATTGCAACAGGGGCATTGTTAGGAGCTTTTTATGGGGTACTAGGGAGCACAATTTTAACTCAAGGAACATCTTTCCAAGCAGCTGGAACTGGATTAGGCACATTTGCTGCAGGGGGAGTGGGAGCAATGTTTGGAGGTATTGCAGCATATGATGCAACTGATGAAGAAGACACACTACAGGGAGGTACAGAAAGGGCAACACAGACTGTCACAGATGGAGCCCTATTTCTCTTAGATAAAGTACAGGAGGTAGTGGACAAAGTATCAAAGATAAAAAAGAGTCAAAAATGAGCCATGACTCTTGAAGGGGAAGATAATTTAGCAGTTAAAATTCATGTCTCCCTGTTAGATTACTTGAAATCTTGTTCTAGACCATCCTGAGCTGAAGTGCATTTCTTAACTTCAAACGTAAGTTGCTTGTTTCACAAGTGTGTGGGCAGCTGTGGATCAGGAGGTAGAGCAGCTTATCCACTGATCAGAAGATCGACTGTTTGATCCCTGGCTTCTCCAGTCCACATGTTGGACTAAATCCCATATTGCTGTGTGAGTGTGTGAATGCCTAAACTAAGTAGTGGGTGGCACCTTGTACATTAGCCAGGAGTGTGTGTGAATGGGTGAATTTGACCCTGTATTGAAACAGTGGATCTACACAGAGCCTATGCACTTGGCCTACACATTTGTAAGTTCGTCAAACACACATTAAACATGACTTAATATCAACCATAAATACACCAACTGGCTTCACTGTAACTTGCAAGGCTGAAAGACAAAAGACTTGTCTTTTGCTGGACACATTTTCACCACAAATAAAACATGCTAACATTATTAGCACAAGAATATGATATTTTACATGCATAAATTAATTAATAAATTAGCATGGCAGCTAGCGGACTTTCCTCTACTCACATGAAGCAAGGAACAACAGCAACATTTCACAAAATTAACATAAAAAAATATGGTTCCATTGTAACTCGCACAGTTTACCGGCAAAACAATATTTTTTTACTTGACATGTTTTCCCCACATAAACATGCTAACATTATTAGCATAAGGCTATGACATTTTACATTACATAAATTAGCCTAGTGGCCAGCAGACTTTCTTCTGCTCATAAGAAGTCAAGATTATTCACACACAGGACTTAAAATGCTGTTATGTGGGGGTTTGTGGTCTTCACAATTTATTACTTCTTATATGTGAAATTAAAGTAAATTAAAGTTTTGTTTCCACTGAGGGAAATGGTTCTCAGATTATGCAAAAAAACAGAAGGTCTGCATCGTGACAACGTGCAGTTACATTTTTGGGGAGGTGAATAGCAAGCTACGGCACAGGTACGCCGAGTCTACACTGTAGGTACGGTGTGGATTCAATGCAGAAGTTTTAAACCTGCTTTATGGTGCTTTGAGTTATGGTGCTATACAAGTGCAAATCCATTTACAAACCAATTTGTGTTTTGTTTTTCAAATACTAAACTTTAAATACCATATTGTACATACATGTCCAATCCTTTCTGTTAACCTGTTTACATCTTATGATCCATACTGGTGATTTGTTTCAGCATTGTATATATTTTGGATTAGATTTTATATATTTCATATTTACATTCTTTCTAATGTTGTATTGCAGCTGCTGCACAGCAATTTCCTGGGGGATAAATAAAGTACTGTCTTATCCTAATTACAGACTGTCTGTTTGATGTGTTGTTTAATGTAAACTGTAGCCTAAAACCCACAAATATAAAATAGTTCTAGAAGCTTTCATATATAAGCTCTTTAAAATATATTGTCATTAAATCAGTGTACACTAATGGCAGTATTTCTGTTGTCTGTTGAAACTGTACTCACTGTTTCCTGTTGCATAAGCTAATCAGGAAATTTTACTAAATGCATGTGCAACATTTTGTTAGACAATAGTTGTGGTTCTTTGCAGATCACAGTGTATCTCCAAGACAAATATGAACAATAAAAAGTTGAACCCTTTAAAAACAATGTTATTTGAGCAAATAAAGCTTTTACTTGATAAAGACCCCTCCTCCCACCACACACACACACACACACACACACACACACACANGTATGCTGTAAAGCCCTGTGAGGCAAATTGTGATTTGTGATATTGGGCTTTATAAATAAAATTGATTGATGGATTGACTGCAGCAGTAGCAGCAGCTGGTTAGCATTAGACACAGTCAGGTGTGTCTGCTGCACCCACTGAATGGGTTTTATCAGATTTGATTTTCAGTGGCAACGTGAGCAAACAGTCCCATTGTCATCACCAGAATTGTTTGTGATGTTTGAGGAATGTGGTAGAGCTACTGCTGAAGCATCAAGGTTAGACAGGGTTGTCAAGGTATAGAAAGAAAAAAACAAAAGTGGCAGATACAGCAAACACATTCACACATGCTTTGGCAGTCGCGTCACTGTGAGTAATTGTCACTCCAAAGTAACTTCGCTTTCGACAACATGGACGGTAAGTTGTCTTTCGGTTATTTCTGTCCGGACTGGACATTGTGCATTTAGTTGCAAGACACAGAAATTTTGATAATAGCTGTTTTGTTTAAAATCATTTTTTACAGTGCACAGGTGCTACACGTAGATAGCTGTCTTTTTCCCTCTCTTTTTTAAGTGTTGAACTTTTTTGATTGGTACTGTTGGAAGATTATAAGATTACTGTTGGAAGAGATAATTTACGCAAGATGTTCTTGGTTATTAATCTGCTCGTTGGCTTCTTTGTTTGAATCAACACCACTCTTCATTCATTTCTTGCTAATGAAGCTATAAGCAGGGGTGTGGCAGAAAGAATTGTGACTGATTACCTTAGACCCAAAGGGGAGGGGGCTAAAAAACTTGGAATGAAAAGTTTAGTTTTGTTTGCAATTCTTTATTTCAAATCAGTTGAGAGAGTGAACACTGGAAAATGAGGAGTGGAGGGTCTCTGACCCCCAATTTCCACCAGATGCATGCTGGTTGCGTCTGCGGTCCGGCATGGCAGCGGAGCCGATTAGATTCAATTCTAGTCAATGTGTGTGTTTCCACCGGCTCCGGCTGTGCTACGTTCCGGCTCCGTCTCAGCTCCGGCACTCCAGAGCCCTCCGCAACAGATACACAGGACTTCTATTTTTGCTGGACGCCGGAGCACAACACAGCAATTCAGCACAGAGCAGATCGTGCGGGGCAGGAAGTCGTGCACAGAAACAAAATAAAACATTTGGTTAATTTTCAAAATAAAGTACATAGTGTTCACGGCGGATCATATTTCCCTGCACTACACCTTGAAAACTGCATAACGGGCAGAGGCAGGCCTGAAGTCAACAGGTCAGAGGTTTTCAGACGTCATTTAACCCTGTTGACACCATGGACGAGGAGATATTCATCATGGCAGAGCACCGAGATGTCTTCCGGCGGAGCTGCACCGCTCCGCACAGCAAACGCAGCTGGTGGGTATTGACGGATGGCGGAGCACGCAGCGGATATCCAGCACTGCCGTTCCGCAACGGACACGCATCCAGTGGAAATCCGGCATGAGGCTCCTCGCACCCCTGCAAAAAGTGCAAAATGGTTTACTCTCTAAAGCAGACCACCAGAAACGCTAAGCTTTGCAGCTAATTCTTCCCAGTGGCCACTCGCAGTATTGCAGCAAAAAATTCCCCATGGCCCAAAAAGCATTTTGTAAAACTAGTCACAGGACACCTTGAACTCGAGCACGCTAATACCAGCAGTTGCTTAGACTGAAGACATTCAGCTTGAAGCATATGTACATAAACATAAATTAATCCAACCACTTCTCATTCCAATTCGTCAAATACTGCCGCTTCGTCTGTGTCCTAAATGTCAAAATATGATATGAATATAGGTAGCCTCCTGCGGTGGTTTTCAGCGTTCACGGACGGTGTCTCAATTGATGCTTGTGACATGCATTGTGTCTTTTCAAAATACATTTCTGTTTTTACAATGCATTTGCAATTTCTGCCCATTACCTGCATACAGCCTTTTCAAAATAAACTTACTACATAGGTAATAAGCTTCGCTGTTATGTTTAGTTTTAAAAAAAATACATGGTTTGCATCAAAATGGGTACAGCAGGCTCCCAGGTTAAAGTTTGGTGTTTGTCGGACCCCTCTACCTTCCCTCCCACCCACCCTATACAGACTTTCTCGCTCTTTATACTACAGTAATGGTCAGTTCCGTCACAAATAGGCGTTGGCTGATGCTACAAAGAGTGTCTCTGTGCATTGGTATCTGGTGCCAACATCCAACAAAGTTCAGTTGGTGGTGGTGGCGTCAGAAATAGCCGCTGCCCGGTGTGTATCTTTCCACTGCAAAAGATACATTGGCATCTGACAACGTTATTGACAAAGTGGCGGTACTTGATGCATATGGAGTGAGAATGGGCCGATTAGAATCATAAATTGGCATCAATACTACAATGTTGTGTGGTATTTTATCTATCAACAGTCAACTAGCAAAGCTTAATCTTGACCATATGACCCTCTGTTTCAGAAACAGCCACAACGAGTGGAGGAACAACAGCAGGTCCCTCAAAATCCACTGTTACTAAGAAAAAGACACAAGGTGAGCTCATGAAAAAAAAAAATCTAAAAATCTAAAAAAAATCTAAATCTTTTTTTTTTTTTTTTTTGGCCAATTTGTGGTATATTTCTTATCAAGTTGCTCATTGCCTCCCCCCCGCCCAAAGCTTCACATCATGAACCATATATGAGCCTCTGTTTCAGGAACAACCACAAAGAAAGGAACAACAGCAGGTCCCTCATCATCCACTGTTACTGAGGACAAGGCACAAGGTGAGCTCATGAAGAAGCTACTACAAGTGAAGCAATCATGTGACATCGAGGTTTCACAGATCTTGCGCAAAAAACAGTTCAACTTTGAAGCAATATTTAGCCCCTTTCCCAGTAATCCAGCATGGCATGTTTGGTGTCACTGCATTCACTGCAATGTTAAGATTCATATGATACCACTGGCTTTGGGCTCAGCTTAAAAACCTCCATGCCTTTACAAATACAGAAATGTTAATGCTAGATGATCCGTAGGAAAAGAGTAACGCACACCGCAGATTGTCTTGTTGAGGTGCTGGCGATAGAGCAGAAAAATTGAAAAAAGAGGGAACGCTGCACACTCAGCTCCAAGTAAAAAGGGAATTTTATTTAGGACAACGTTTCAGCACAGGGCCTTTGTCAAGTCTTAACACGCTACCTTAAGACTTGACAAAGGCCCTGTGCTGAAACGTTGTCCTAAATAAAATTCCCTTTTTACTTGGAGCTGAGTTTGCAGCGTTCCCTCTTTTTTCAATGCTAGATGATCCACCATACTTTTCAGATAATTAAAAGTAAAACACTGTCATGTGACATTATCTAATAATATTACCCAGCAAAGCTTCACATCATGAACCATATATGAGCCTCTGTTTCAGAGCCAACCACAAAGAAAGGAACAACAGCAGGTCCCTCATCATCCACTGTTACTGAGGACAAGACACAAGGTGAGCTCATATTGTGAAATCTAAAAACTTTGAAACAGTCATTTGTAGCAGATTCAAGTGAAAGGAGATTAGTGAGACTATCATCAAGTAGCCTGTTTTACTGTATGTTAGAGACTACTTATGCATAGGGCCCAGAATTTAGTGCAACACCCCCACCCATAAGTAGTGATGGCCAAATGAAGCCTCATGAACCACTGTCTTTATTTTCTGAAGCCACCAGATGGCGCTGTCTGTCCAACAAAGGCTTGAAAGCACACTTCATTGCAAGTCCTTCAGCCTTTATATTTAAACCAAGAGCGCCATCTGGTGGGGTCAGAAAATAAAGACAGTGGTTCCTGAGGCCTCAATTGGCCATCACTACCTATAAGTAGTAACTAACTGCTTTCAGACCAATGAGAATATTGTAGTTTAGGTGATGTGTATCTTGAAAACAACCCAACGATAAATGTACAATGCTACTGATGACCATTATTCTGTTTCAGTCACAAACACGAAGAGAATAGTCATCTTGGGTAAAACAGGAGCTGGGAAAAGCAGCCTGGTTAACACCATATTTGGAAAGAAACTGGTCAAGATCGATCATACTTTCAGCGCAGGAACAAAAGAATGTCAAGCAGAAACCAGATCTGTCAATGGAAGAAACATCACTTTGATCGACACTCCTGGTTTCTTCGACACAAATAGACCCGAGGAGGAGTTGAAGCGTGCGATAGTGAGGAGTATCGTAGAGTGCGCTCCTGGGCCTCATGCTTTTCTCATTGTGCTTAAAGTGGAGAAATTCACAGAGCACGAGGAGTCTGTCATCAGCAAAATAAAAAACAGCTTTTCTGATGATGTCTTCAAATATGCAACAGTTGTATTCACTCATGGTGACCAGCTCAATGAAGAACAGAGAATTGAGGATTTGGTGTGCCAGAATCAGCTTGTGAGTGATCTGGTGGAGAAGTGTGGAGGTCGCTGTCACGTCATTGATAATAAATACTGGAATGGAAAGCCAGAGGATGAATACAGATGCAACCAGTTTCACGTGGAGGAGCTACTGAAGACAATAGACAACATAACTGAGGCACACCAAGGAGGCTGCTACACAAATAAGAATCTAAAAGCAGTGGAGAGGGAAAAACAACAAGAGGAGGAGCACATTCGACAGTCATCAGGAAACATTTCAGAGGGAGAGATCAGAGAGCAGGCTAAGGGCAGCGTGTTTAAAAAGCTTTTGAAAAAACTGGCACATATTGCAACAGGGGCATTGTTAGGAGCTTTTTATGGGGTACTAGGGAGCACAATTTTAACTCAAGGAACATCTTTCCAAGCAGCTGGAACTGGATTAGGCACATTTGCTGCAGGGGGAGTGGGAGCAATGTTTGGAGGTATTGCAGCATATGATGCAACTGATGAAGAAGACACACTACAGGGAGGTACAGAAAGGGCAACACAGACTGTCACAGATGGAGCCCTATTTCTCTTAGATAAAGTACAGGAGGTAGTGGACAAAGTATCAAAGATAAAAAAGAGTCAAAAATGAGCCATGACTCTTGAAGGGGAAGATAATTTAGCAGTTAAAATTCATGTCTCCCTGTTAGATTACTTGAAATCTTGTTCTAGACCATCCTGAGCTGAAGTGCATTTCTTAACTTCAAACGTAAGTTGCTTGTTTCACAAGTGTGTGGGCAGCTGTGGATCAGGAGGTAGAGCAGCTTATCCACTGATCAGAAGATCGACTGTTTGATCCCTGGCTTCTCCAGTCCACATGTTGGACTAAATCCCATATTGCTGTGTGAGTGTGTGAATGCCTAAACTAAGTAGTGGGTGGCACCTTGTACATTAGCCAGGAGTGTGTGTGAATGGGTGAATTTGACCCTGTATTGAAACAGTGGATCTACACAGAGCCTATGCACTTGGCCTACACATTTGTAAGTTCGTCAAACACACATTAAACATGACTTAATATCAACCATAAATACACCAACTGGCTTCACTGTAACTTGCAAGGCTGAAAGACAAAAGACTTGTCTTTTGCTGGACACATTTTCACCACAAATAAAACATGCTAACATTATTAGCACAAGAATATGATATTTTACATGCATAAATTAATTAATAAATTAGCATGGCAGCTAGCGGACTTTCCTCTACTCACATGAAGCAAGGAACAACAGCAACATTTCACAAAATTAACATAAAAAAATATGGTTCCATTGTAACTCGCACAGTTTACCGGCAAAACAATATTTTTTTACTTGACATGTTTTCCCCACATAAACATGCTAACATTATTAGCATAAGGCTATGACATTTTACATTACATAAATTAGCCTAGTGGCCAGCAGACTTTCTTCTGCTCATAAGAAGTCAAGATTATTCACACACAGGACTTAAAATGCTGTTATGTGGGGGTTTGTGGTCTTCACAATTTATTACTTCTTATATGTGAAATTAAAGTAAATTAAAGTTTTGTTTCCACTGAGGGAAATGGTTCTCAGATTATGCAAAAAAACAGAAGGTCTGCATCGTGACAACGTGCAGTTACATTTTTGGGGAGGTGAATAGCAAGCTACGGCACAGGTACGCCGAGTCTACACTGTAGGTACGGTGTGGATTCAATGCAGAAGTTTTAAACCTGCTTTATGGTGCTTTGAGTTATGGTGCTATACAAGTGCAAATCCATTTACAAACCAATTTGTGTTTTGTTTTTCAAATACTAAACTTTAAATACCATATTGTACATACATGTCCAATCCTTTCTGTTAACCTGTTTACATCTTATGATCCATACTGGTGATTTGTTTCAGCATTGTATATATTTTGGATTAGATTTTATATATTTCATATTTACATTCTTTCTAATGTTGTATTGCAGCTGCTGCACAGCAATTTCCTGGGGGATAAATAAAGTACTGTCTTATCCTAATTACAGACTGTCTGTTTGATGTGTTGTTTAATGTAAACTGTAGCCTAAAACCCACAAATATAAAATAGTTCTAGAAGCTTTCATATATAAGCTCTTTAAAATATATTGTCATTAAATCAGTGTACACTAATGGCAGTATTTCTGTTGTCTGTTGAAACTGAACTCACTGTTTCCTGTTGCATAAGCTAATCAGGAAATTTTACTAAATGCATGTGCAACATTTTGTTAGACAATAGTTGTGGTTCTTTGCAGATCACAGTGTATCTCCAAGACAAATATGAACAATAAAAAGTTGAACCCTTTAAAAACAATGTTATTTGAGCAAATAAAGCTTTTACTTGATAAAGACCCCTCCTCCCACCACACACACACACACACACACACACACACACACACTTCAACCAGTGAGTGAAAGTGAAAGTAGAAAAAGCAGAGTGGGAGTGCAGGGAGAAAAGACTCACAGGATGGGGGTCTGCTAGATCAAAGTGATTTTATTCTTCACTTAATTCTCTTCTAACAACATGGAAGGTGAGTTAAAGCCACTTATTTCACATTTTAGACTTTGTTGACACTGATCACTCTGTTATTCTTGAACATATGCCTTTCCTCGGAAAATGAAGAAATGACCCGCCCTTCTCTTCCTATGATTGGCTAGTACTCATTGCCTTCATTGGTTGGATTGGTTAGATTTCAGCAAGAGCAGTAGGATTGGTTAGGGCTATGGAAAATATGTGAGGGTAAGCAAATCAGAGGCTGAGTAAGGCAGGCCATTTCTTAGCTAGAATTAACGCTTTTGAAACATGCTGATGGCAAACTATTGTAATCAAATCAGTATGCAGCATGCATGCAGCCTCCTGTCTAAGAGGATGAGTCACATGTTTGGTACGCGCTGACTGTGTCCCGGAAATAGTGATGGCTAAATGAGGCCTCATAAACCACTGTCTTTATTTTCTGAAACCACCAGATGGCGCTGTCTGTTCAACAAAGGTTTGAAAGCACACTTCATTGCAAGTCCTTCAGCCTTTATCTTTAAACCAAGAGTGCCATCTTGTGGGGTCAGAAAATAAAGACAGTGGTTCATGAGGCCTCAATTGGCCATCATTACCCAGAAACACTAAGCTGTGAGGCAATGCAGTGCACAGACATACAGTATATACACTGCCTGGCCAAAAAAAAAGTCGCCACCTGGATTTAACTAAGCAAATAGGTACGAGCCTCCTATTGGATAATTACTGCATGGGCGATTATCTTTCAGCTGGCAACAAGTTATTTAACCCCAACTGGTGCAATGAGTTGCTTCTCATTTCCTAAACAACCATGTCGAAAGACACATCCCGTGGTCGTGGAAAAGATGTTAGTCTGTTTGAGAAGGGTCAAATCATTGGCATGCATCAAGCAGAGAAAACATCTAAGGAG